TCAGTTTGTGTGTCAACTTGGCTGGGCCTGGTTGAGTGGCTGGGCAGCTGGTGGTAGTTATTCCCCATGATGAGACTGGCAATCAACTCCATGGTGGATCTACCACATGCAGCTGAGTAGCTGCCTTTGGGATGTGGTCTGCTTCCCGTATATAAGCAGAAGCCTTGGGAACGGTCTGTAGCCTGTGGCACGCTTGGACCCTGCATGTAGCCGTATCATTGCTCAGCAGCCTGCCATCCTCTGCCGACCTTGGGACTTACAGCAGACTTGAATTAATGGCCTGCCACGTGGTTTGGTAACATCGGGACTGTGCCTTTTTACTTGTCAACCTTGGGCTTCTCAGCCCCAGCAGCCAGCAGCTGTCTGAGTGAAGAAACGCCTCTAGCTCCAGTGGGCTGGGAGCAGGAGGCAGAGCTGGACTCCAAGGTTGAGGGGCTTTCACCCAGCCCCTAGAGCCTGGCACTTTGAACTTGGGCTCAAAGCCTCCAAATTGTAAGAATAAACTCCTGTTTGTTAAGGCCGTCCCACCATTTGTGGTATATTCTTGTCAGAGCAGCACCTTGGAACCAGAATGGCCCCTCACCTCAGGGTGCAGGCAACAGGCTGGCCGGGCTGGTAGGGCCCAAGCTGCACGCGGCACACCAGGGCACCCAGGGCCTCGCAGTCCTCGGTGTCGCACGGGTACCTCGCAGTCAGCACGTTGCCTTTGGCCTCTGCATAGAGCAGCCGCAGGACCTCCTCGTCGTGGATCTGCAGGCCGGGCAGGGGTGGGGAGGGGAGACGAGGCCTGCTCAGTTGGGCGGGCAAGGCATGAACGGGCGCTAGGCACCAGACCTGAGGCCACTGCTCACCTGTAGCTCCCGCCGTTTAGGGAAAAACACATTCCTTCGGAACTGCAGGGAAGGCTCATCTGGGAAGAGAGGCTGGGTCACCATGGGGCCCTGTGCTCCCCGCCCGCCCCCACTCTCATCCTTCACAGCCCCTCCCAACCCTCTCCTGGGCTCCCCTCAGGGGCTCCCTCCCCCACAGGAGTGGCTGCAGGGAGCCCCGGGGAGATGCCGGCCCTGCCCGGCCCCCAGCAGGGTACTCAGGACTGAGCGCCCCAGGGCCCCAAACGGCGGTGCCACTGACCCATGGCTACGTCTTCGTCTGGAGCATCAGTGAAGCGCAGCAATAGCTCCGGCCACTGGCGGCCCAGCTTGTAGGGCTGGTGTTTGGGCTTCAGCTGCACCTCTGTGGGACGAGAGGGACAGTAGCCTGGCCAGCCTCAGGCCAGTCCTCCGGCCACCCCAGTCACCGCCAGAAAGGACAGTGACGACAACAGCAGTCAGCACCCAGACCTGTTCTGGCGTTTCTGTCAATTTACCCCACAGTGATCCCTCCCCAATTTAACCAGAGAGGCTCAGAGAGGTTAGGTTACTTGTCCAAAGTCACACAGCAAGGGAAAGGGGGGTGTCTGGCCCCAGGCCGAGCCAGTGTCTGACGGAAGACGCTGGTGCAGAGGGGCCCAGCACCACTCTGTGTGCTGTCATCGAGCTGACTCATGGTGACCCTCGTGCAGAACAGAACTGCTCCTCTGACCCGCCTCCACCAACAACTGCGTGTCACACTCAGCCCGATCCCAGGGGCCTGCTCTTAAGCCAAAACAGTGGCCCGTCCTCCAAGTTGGCCTTCTGCCTTAGCACCGGGCAGGGAGGCCTGCCTCTGCGTATCACGTGCCCCAACGGCCACCTCCCTCACCCTCCAGGAGGCAACCCCCACCACCAACTCCCCCAGTGTCCACCCCTCTGCTGCGGTCCCCAGAGATGGAGTGGGGAGCGGCTTAGAGATTATCTACTGTTTGGAGAGAAACGACTGTCCAAGGCCACAGAGCAGCTGAAGCAGTGGCAGAGGCCTGTCTCCCTGACCCCCTCTAAAGGCTGCCCGTGAGGGCCGAGAGCTCTGAGCATCCAGACACAGCCGGCGCCGGGGGCTCAGGGCCCACCTGAGGGAATGAGTGAGGCAATGACTCGCTGGGACCTGCTGGCCACATGCTGGGGGGAGGGCGGGGCTCTGGGGTAAGGCCCCCACTTTGTGGAACCTTCAAGACCCCCAACATCAGAGCAGGACTGTGCTGACCCCATCCCCACGGACTTCCAGGCAGGGCTTTCCTGCCTGCAGGCTGTGCCCTCAACCAACACAGAGAGGCCCTGGAGCCCCATTCCATGCTGGGACAATGACAAGGAGAAACCTACGCCCTCCCCAAATGCCCGGCTGGAACGGTGACTCTGCAGGCAGGGCCCCTCTCCTGGTGCCCCCCAAACCGTCCCCAAGAGGCTCTCAGCCTAGGAGTAGCTGTCCCTGCGTCACCTGGGGGTGGGGGGTGAACAGGGGTGGGCTCAGATTCTGAGGGGCCCACGTCACACCCAGCCCGGGGACAAAGTGGGTGGGGGCTTTGTGCTGGGGCCTTTAGACACCCGGGAGGCGCCCCAGGGTGACCCAGGCCACACAAGCAGCCCATTCATGCTCCAAGGCAGAAGAGGAACAGGAATGTGAAGGGGGGGTTGGGCGGAGGAAGTAGGAGGACCAGGCACTGGGCCTCCTGCTGCCAGGCAGGGGTGGGGGGGCGGACACACACACACACACACACACACACACACAGACACGGGGGATGCCACCCCCCAGCTTTCCAAAGCCAGAGCCCAGGCCAAAGGCCCTGACTGGTAAGGAGACCCGTCAGCAGGAATGGAGTGGGACTGGGCGAGGCCTCGGAGCCCAGCTAGCAGGAAGCCCTGGGGGGGCGGTGGCAGGCGCTCTTTCCTCCCCCACCCAGATCCTCCCTCAGGGTTGAGGCCTTGGGGGAGCGGCTATCACTGGCTCCCCTGGTCTGGGACCCCTGCTGTCCTATCTCCCTCTGACAACAGGATGGGCCCTGTTCTAGCCCCTTCCCCCACAGTGGAGAACTCCTGTCCCCGAGTGACAGCCTGCATGTCCTCTCCCCAGTGCTGTTCCCAGCTGAACAGCTGGCTCAGAGGCCCAACCCACCAAGGACCACAGGCCTGAGGCTCCAGACGGCCACAGCCCCCACAGCCACTCCCCTCCCCTCGGCCTTTCAGCCTGGACTGCCTCCATGGGCCCAGAAGGGTGCAACATGGGTGGTCCCAGGGCCAGATCCTAGACATGGAACTCGGGTGCCCTGGCTTCCCACCCTCCCTTGAGGGGACTGCTCCCTGGGCCACACTCTGCCTTCTTCCCAGCCCCCAAGGGCCAGGGTCGTTCACAGCCCTGCAGGGGGCCCCACAGGCTTGGGTCTGTACTTGGCCCTAGTGCTCAGTTCACTGCTGCAAACCTCCATCTCCGTGTCTGCAAACAGGGTTGGGCCCCAAGGCTGAGCTGAAACTGTGCGCACAAGATGCAGCTCCAAGGTGGCACAGACCCCCCCAGACCCCCCCCCATAGCCAGTGGCTGATGCTCAGACGCCCCTCTCTTCCCGAACTGGCCAGCGCCCTCCAAGCCCTCCAGGCTGGGCTTCTCGCTGCCTCGCCTTACCCAGCAGAGGGGAGACCAGCCAGAGCGCAAAGATATCCAGGGCCATGTCCGGCAGTTGCAGGATCTCTCGGACTATGCGGTGCAGCTCGTGGGCACTGAGCGAGGGCAGGTTCTCCACGGCCAGGGGCACCACCGAGTCATCCGCCAGGTAGACCAGCACGTCAGCCGCTGTGGTGGAGGCCAGGGTGGGTCAGCTGGGGCTTACCTTCCGGACACAGCCAGCAGGGCCCGGGTACCCACTGGGCTGGAGCTCCCACCCTATGCCCCTTAGGTGATCAAAGCTCCAAGTCTGAGGCACTGTTCACACCACGGTGGTGCGAGTCCCAACATCCGGAAAAGATGCATTAAGGTTACATTTGTTACGATTTACTCAAGACCCTTGAACCATCCAGAAACCCGGCCGCTCAGGCCCAGAGACCAGACAACTCTTACCCCAAGCTCCGAGGGTTCAGACTGGGGTGACCACTGCCCCCCAACTCCCCTGCTGTGCTTCTGCCCTGAAGAAAATTGCATAGGTGGGGACATTAAACCCACCATGCAGTTACAGAAGCTAGACTCTTAGGCTAAGTGAGACGTAGTAAGCTGCTGTTGCCCTTGGGCAGGTCACCATCCCTCTCTGGCCCAAGCTAAGAGGTGAACAAGGTAAAGCAGGTGCCAGGCTTCCGAAGACCCTTTAAGGCTCCGGACACAATGCTGAGGCTTTTCAGGACAGTCTTGAGCAGGCCCAGGGAAGCACAGCCCTCCCGACAGGCTGAGCATTCTGCTGGTTCAGTCCAGGGTAGCCTGAAGCCCGGAACCACAGCGAGCCCGCTGGAAGAACAGTCAGACTCCAACGTCTGTCCCCATAGCAGCAGGTACCCGGAAGGAGCCCCAGGCACGGAGGGGCACCCTCGGGTTCAAACCTAGCCCGGCACCCACCAGCTAGCTGGCTGACGTCTGCAAGTCAGTTTGTGTGTCAGTTACCCCATCTGCAAGAGCAGGTTCTAACGTCCCTCCCTCAAAACGTGGCTATGAATCAATCGAGGGAAAGCCTGTGATAGGAGGGCCTAACAGACACAGGAGGTGCCCTCTGGACCCCGAGTTTATTCTACAACAACAACTACCTTCTTCAGAGCTCATAAACCCAACTCCAGGAGGCTGAAATTCAGAGCCACTTTTCAGGTGGGGAAAGCAGGCACCCAGTGACCCCTGCAGGGGGCAACTTTCTGCCTGAGATAAATGGTGCCTCACACAGTCAAAAGGCTGTCTGTGACGAAAAAATGAAAGAAAAAGCAAAAGTGTCATTTTCCATCCATGTGATGTCATTTGGATTACCTGCTCTCTGGTGGAGGAGTGTCTAAAGTATCTAACTGCTAACCAGAAGGTTGGTGGTTCAAAGCCACCAGCCACACCTCAGAAGGAAATCTGGGCAATCTACTTCTGTAAAAATTTACCGCCTCAAAAACCCGGCGGGGGTGGGTTTGGTTTGGTTTTGAGATAAACCAGAGCCAAGAAGAGAACATCCCTCAGCCAGGAGGCACTGAGAGTGCCTGGGCCCTAGGCCTCAGAGCTCCAGGAGTCTGACAGATCTCAACTTATTAATGTGTATCTCACTTGTTACTATGAAAAGGAGCTCTCGTGGCGTAGTACCTAAGGCATTTGCCTGCTAACCAAAAGGTTGGCAGTTCAAATCCATCAGACGCTCCTTGGAAAGAAAATAGGGCAGTCTACTTCCGCAAAGATTTACAGCCTCAGCAACCCAATGGGGGTCACTATGAGTCAGAATTCACTAGATAGCACTGAGTTTGGTTTTCTTGGCTTCTTAATATTAAAGATCATCTTTAATGAAAAAGGTGACAAGCCATGGCCTCTTCCCCAGGGATGGGTCACAAGACGGTAAGGAGGATGGGGACAGGGACCCACCTCGGGCTCCCACGGACGACACGCTGCTTCGGTGGGACCGCTCCGCGGGGCCGGGCTGCCCGGCACTGCCTTCCGTCCCGTCCATCTGCAGAAGAAAAGACATGCAGTCGTTACTGAGGGTCCACGGATGTAGGGGGCTGCTCAGCTCTCACTGAAATAGGGAGGGGTGTTCCCGGACTGGGTCTGCGAGGCTGGACAATGTGGGCTAGAAGCCCGGACGGTGCAGACTGGGAGGCCTCGGCCAACTCGGGGTCCGGGCCAGGCTGACAGGGGATCGGGCTGGAACCGGCAGAAGGGGAGTCGAAGCTCCGCGCTCGGGATGCCCAGGCGGGGCATAGTGCACCCCGGTCCGGGGCAGACGCCCGGGCAGAGACGGTGTCTCCGTGCTTTCACCTCGCAGGGACACAGCGCCCGCCGCCTCAGCCCAGGCTCCCGTCCTCCCTCCGGCTTCAACTCCGGCTCCAGCCCCGCCGCCGCCCGGGTTCCCGCCCCGGCTCCGGCTTCTCGGGCGGAGACACGGAAGCGGCGGCGGGAGGAAGCGCTGGGCGCAAGGCCCCGCCTCCCCCGCCTGCGGGCGCCAATCGGAGGCCGAGACCGGCGCGCACGCGCCCTGCTCGGCGCCCGCACGCTCACGCCCCCTACCGCTGGCCCGCGCATGCCTGGAACGGCCGGGAAGCCCACCTAGCGTGTCTAAGTCACCCCCCCCCCCGAAATCTGCTTTGCGAACCAGCCTGGCCACCAGCCTGAGTGACCGAGGGGCAGTCGCCCACCCCCACGCCCCGACCGTTGGCCTGTGACAAGGTGGAGCGAAGGTGCAGGGAAATCGGGGGTGCAGGCGGGAGTTCGGCGTCTGGCTCGCCTTGGCACTTGGGTCCGGTGTTCTCACCTGTAAAATGGAGCTCCTTCCTTGGCCGTGTCAGGGACACACTGTGCTGGGCCTGGGTAAAGAAGGGACCCTGGTGCTGCAGCGCTGGGAGAGTGACAGGCTCCTCATGGAGCAGGACGTAGGGCGAGTTCCTGACCGATCTGTACAAATCCATTCAACCTTGAAGACTCAGTTTCCTCACCTGCCAAAGGAGGTTACACTAGATGGCCTCTGAGAACCCTTCCCACTCTCAAATTACGGCTTAGAAACCCAGCCAGGCACACTCCCTCATTTTCCCAGGGAGCGGTCACATGGCACCTGCTATCTTAGACACACAGTCTGAGACCTTGGGGCATTCTCAGGCTGGGGAGTAGTGATGGGGCCTCAAAGAGGCAGGTGTGAAACTACCTGTCCCCAGGGTCACGTCCCCAACATGTCCTGGCAGCCCCAGCATGTGTGTGCCTGAGGATCTTGGAGCCAAAGAAGTCCATGGCACCTTCCTGTGTGAGCCACAGAACAGGCTCGGTGAGCAGGAACAGGGGGAAGTGGGTCCAACCTGTCCTGGTTCCCTGGGATTGGAAGGCACATCCACTCCTGACTGAGCCCAAGTTTCCTCAGTATTTGAAACAGCTCTTTGTCTCCCTTCCCAGGACCCAGGGGCTCAACCCATGGCAACGTGTCTTTTTTCCTAGCATGACCTAAGGGCTCTAGGAAGCTCTATAAGGGCTGGAGGGGAGAGTGTGCAATAGCACCAGGTACTTCCCTCCCGGTTCTCAGCTCTGGGCCCCTCAGAGCAGGACACGATGATACCTGTGCCTCCCTGGACTAGCCAACACAAAGTGGGGACACAGTTTGGTGTTACTGCCTGCTCACTGTGTGTGGGGCCTGTACTATCAGGGTACTGAGACCCAGGGGAGACACACCCTGCCCTCAAGAAACTTATATTCTGTTTTAATTGGTCAGGGTAGGGAATGGGAAGAGACAAGACCAGGAAAAAAAGTATATTAAATAGGACAAAAACTCTCCTTAAGAGCTGTAAAATACTGTACTAGGAGCAGGAAGAGGAGGGACCTCGATTCTTGAGCACCTACTGTGTGCTGAATGTTGGGCTAGGCCCTTTTGTGTGTGTCACCTCACATCCACGTGGGCCCCAGGGGTGGAAATAAAAGTAGGAGCAACTGCATAGGCTGACTGAATACTATTTGCCAAGTACTTTAAAAGGAGCTCTGGTGGGGTAGTGGTTAGGGAATTTGACTGCTAACCAGAAGGTCAGTGGTTTGAACCCACCAGCTGCTCCATGGAAGAGCGATAAAGCAGTCTGCTTCCTTACAGATTCACAGCCTTGAAAACCCAATGAGGGTCGCAAAGAGTTGGAATTGACACGATGGCAGTGTCTTTTGTTTGGTTTTGAGTTAATCCTTGTACCCAGGGCTTCAAACTGGTTCTTCCTGGTTCAGTCATGACCAACAAATCAAATCCAGAACAGATTCGAATTTGTAAAATGTAGGTGTCTTGGCACAATAACCAGAATGGGAAAAATAATGGGTAGATGCCCTGCTAGAAACTTAATCTCTCTCTTAGAAAACAGGGCTGGCATGCACATTGTATGGCCGCCATATCTCCCAATCAGCAGTCTTGGAAGCCACAGTGCCCTGCTCAAAGATGGCGGCCGGCTGCACTGTTTGAATGTGTGTCATTCTCCACAGTCCTGGCAATCATCCAGTCTCCTTCATCAGACTCCTGAAGGGGCTCGATAGGCCTCATCTGAGTCCCATCCCAGGGCTTCGACCCATAATTTTCCCCACTCCGGTTACCCATACGGCAAACCCACATTTTACACATTTGTTTTTGTTCCAATTTCACTGCACTGGCCATGACTAAACAGATTGGAAGCCCATTAAAGAAGTGAGTATTGTATCTTTATTTTATGGGTGATAAAACAGGATTGGAAGGGTTGCATGGCAAGGCCAGCAGCTAACAGGTATGTGTAGTTGTGGAGATGAATGGACACTAGAACCCAAGTCCAGCTGATCGAGGAGGGACTTTGGGAGAGTCTCCAAGTCTGAGTGTGGTACTGGCTGATAGGGTGGGTGGGTGAGGAGAGGCACTCCTGGTAGCAGGATCCATGTAAGCGTGGTTAGGATACGGGGAAAGCCAGAAACACTCGTGACAGTGCAATGGAGGAAGGCTGAGAAAATAGGACAGCAGCCAGTGGTGGGGAGCCTCGAACCCAGGGTGAGGGATTCATGGTGGGTTTGGCAGGTAGTAAGGGACCTTTTAGACGTTGTGAGCTGGAGAGACAAGAGGAGAGCTCTCCCTTACCAGGCAGGATTGGCCAGAGGACTGGAGACTAGCCAGCCAGTGGATGGGCTTTGCATCTAGAAGGCTGTAGGTGAGTGTGATGAGATGAACCGGGTGTGGTGGGATTGGCGGAGGGAGCAGGCCATTCTGAAGTAAGGGCCTGGGGGACCACAGGCCTTCAGAGCTGCGAGGCCTTGAACATTGCAATCGGCTGGGCTTACCTCCTGCTTTCTATGCAAACGATAAAGGAGCCCATGCCCAGCAGAGGGTTTTGCCAAGGTCCCTCAGGGGCGAGGGACAGAACTAAGACTGTAGTCTAGCTTCCCTCGAGAGGCCACTTGTGGAGAAGGTCCTTGGGGCAGCCCCAGGGAGGAAGTCAGAGATGAGGCCCTGTCACGGCCCGAGAAAGTAGCAGGGTGACGGATGCTGCTTTGGCCACGGAGGGAGCAGAGAGAAGCTGAACAGACAGAAGTGGTCCTTGGGCGTCCCACGGGACACCAAGAGCTGAGTTGAGCCCCCAGGGAGGGGATCCTGGGGCGTGTTTTGGGACCTTTATATTCTTTTGGATCCTTCAGAGATGAGGAGTGAGAACTGAGCCCAGGGATGGCCACTGATGCCACTCTCTAAACCTTCCTTCCTTCCATCTACCCATCCATCCATCCTTCCATCTATTCATCCATCCATCCTTCCTTCCTTCCTTCATTCATTCATTCAGCTAATATGTTTTGATGGCCCACTCTGTCCCAGAGTCCCTGGGTGGCACAGACAGTTAACCACTCAAGTGCTACCTGAAAAGTTGGTGGTTCAAAACCACCCAGAGCCACCTCAGAACTGAGACAGGCCTGGCCATTCGCTTCCGGAAGGTCACAGCCAAGAAAGCCCCAGGGAGCAGTTCCACTCTCTGCACACCAGGAGTCGCCAGGAGTCAGAATTGACTCAGTGGCCACTGACAGCAGTAACGGTGCCACCCGCTGTTCTAAGCCTTTGAGGTACATTAGTGACCAAAACAGCAAGAGATCCCAGCCCAGACAGCAACGAGTCAGTGACGTAATGTGTCGGAAGGTGCAGTGGAAGACAGAAACAGTAGAAACAGGAGAGTGGCACCCGCCCCACGCGGGGCAGTGTGGGCAGATGATCAGGGCGGGCCTCCCTGGACGAGGCTCAAGTGAGGGAAAGGGTTTACATGGAGGGAACACGCCGTGCGAAGGGCTGAAGGCGGAGCGTGTTTGAAGAAGGGTCAGGTGACCAGGGTGGCTGGAATCGTGGCAGAAGAGGAAGTCAGAGCGTGTGGGCAGCGGGCAGCAGGGGTGTGTGTAGGGGTGTGTGTGAGCGCTCAGAGATCTGAGGAGGGGCTTCGGTTTTGTCTGAGCAGGCCGGGCCGTTGTAGGGACCCCTGGTCTGACTTTAAGCAATCGCTCTGGCTGGGCTGCCTGTGGATGACAGAGTGGAATGGGGGGCAGGTGGAGGCAGGGAGGCCGTGGAGCAGTGATCCAAGTGGACATGACGGTGGCTGGGGCCAGGGTGGCAGCAGTGGGGGAGGTGAGAAGGGGCTGGATCCTGGATCTGCTTCCAAACCAAACCGAACTCACTGCCGTTGAGTCGATTCAACTCATAGCGACCCCTCCTGGTGTTTCCGAGGCGGTATCTCTACAGAAGTAGATTGCCCAATCTTCCTTCTGAGGAGCGGCTGGTCAGTTTGAACCATCAGCCTTCTGGTCAGCAGTCAAATGCCTTCGGTACTACGCCACCAGAGCTCCTTGGATCTGCTTTGTTGTTGTTGTTATGTGCCGTCGAGTCAGCCCGGACTCATAGTGACCCCTCCTTGGGTTTCCGAGGCAGTATCACTTCGGAAGTAGGATTGCCCAACCTTCCTTCCGAGGAGTGGCTGGTGGGTTTGAACCGCCAGCCTTCTGGTTAGCAGTCAAGTGCCTTAGGCACTATGCTACCAGAGATCCTTTGGAAACCTGTAGGGCAGTTCTACTCTGTCCAACAGGATGCTTTGAGTGGGAATTAACTCAGTAGCAGTGGGTTTGGTTTGGGAAGGGGCAGTGAGGAGAGCCCCCAGGGAAGCAGCATTTATGACTTACTCACCCGGGGAGTCATAAACGGCCCCAGAGAGAGCAAACAGGCTCCAGGCCCCTGGTGAGTCACTCCTGGGAGCCTGTCCCTCCCTGTCCGCCTCCTCAGCACCTCAGTGTCACAGGTGACTGTGGGTTGGGTCTGCCCCCTAGTGGCCACAGCTCCACTCTACAGCCTCATTGCCTGTGCTCCGCAGGCAGGGGAGGAAGAGGCGTGTGGGCTGCGCTGATAAAGTTACTGTGTTGGAGTTGAACTGTGCTCCATGCGGGTTGGCATTCGGGTGGCTGTTTTTTGGGGAATGGATTGCAAGGTCTTTCTTGTCAGGCCTGTCTGGGTGACCTCGAACTTCCAACCTTTCAGTTAGCAGCCACACTTAGGAGGGGTTTGTATCACCAGGGACTTGGCAAACCCCTTCTGACTGGAGGCAGCCCTGGAGGGGCTCCACCCAGGAGGCTGGGGGGCCTAGCTGTCCTTCCTAGCCCGGCCTGGCTGCTATCAGTGGGGCCGGGAGACCAGGCCACCAGGGGCCCCGTCGTCCCTGCCCCACGTATCTCCTCCAGACTCTCAGGGTCACTGAGGTTGGCACTGTCCCATCTCCTGACCGCCTGGGCACGGGGCCACTTCTCACCCCTACACTCAGGGTTAAACATTAGTGGGAGGTTATCAGGCTGGGGTCCAGGACAGGGAGAGGGCTGAAGTCAACCTTCCGCAGCTTCTCCTCCTCAGTCGCGCCCTGGACGATGCCTGCGGAGGAGTTTGTGGCTGGCTGGATCTCCGGTGAGACATTTTCCCTCCTTCTGTCACGTCGCTCCCAAGGGGGTGGGGGGAGACATCTGAGCAGCTGAGGCCAAAGTCCTGGTTCCCCTGGAGCAGCCCAGGCCCAGATGTCCCGGGAGCGAGCTCCTGGAGGTTCCTGGTGGGTCAGGAGAGAAAGGGGTGGGGGTGTGGTGGAACGGGGGTGCTGTTTCTGCCGTTCATGCCCAGTCCCTGACACCTGCCAAGGTCCCAGGAGCCCCCGCAGCACCTTGACCCGCAGCCCTGCTCCTGCACCTGCCGTGGAGCTCAGGGGTGAAGTTTACCTGTGACCTTGCTGTCCTGAGGGCTGGCAGAGGGCTGTTCTCCGGAGCCCTGCCACCTGTCATGCTTCCCGACCCAGCCCAGCTGGGTGACACGTCTCTGAGAAGGAAGAGGGGACATTCTGAACCTCCCCCAAGGATACAGCCTCCCCCGAAATCCGGAGCCAGCCTCATCGATGAAGGGCAGAGCCAGGTCTCTCCCCTCGTGCCCTCCAGGTCACACTGTGGGTGCTGACCGTCCCCCTGCCCAGGGACAGAAGCCCCATGAGACCAGGGCCTGGTTGGCATCCAGGCCGGACACTTGGTAGCGGTTATCAGTTGACGAAGGGGTGAAGCTGGCCGAGGCAGGGGAGTGGAAAACTGGAGAGTCGTTCCAGTCCCACAGCCACATGAACCAGCGGGGACCCAGGTGTCTACCCAGCTGAGGACACGTGGGTCCTGGGAGGCTCATCCCTTCTGGGTAAGTCCTCTGGGGGGGCTGGGGGTCTCGCTGCCCTGACTCTGTGCCTAGCACAGTGCCTGGTGTGAAGAGGGCCTGATGAGGGGGACGGTCAGATGGGAGAGGGTCTGACGGAGACCCTCCATTAGGGGAGTTTCTCTGGAGCCCGGCAGGAAAGTGTGCACGGTGTCTGCACAGCCCAGCCCCTCCTCCCTGCCCGAAGCCCTCTTTCCTCAGCCTGGCAAGTGTCCTCACTCATAACTCCCTTTTGTCACTGCAGGAGCTCTGGGCCTGGTCCTGGGACACCCCTTTGACACCATAAAGGTGAGTCCAGGGGGAGGCCCCGGAGGTCCCCTCCTGCACCGAGCGGGGCCCTGAGAGCTGACCCGTCCCCCACGGATCTGTCCCCGCTCCAGGTGCGGCTGCAGTCCCACAGCAAGTACCGCGGCATCTTAGACTGTGCTGTCAAGATCTACCGCCACGAGTCGGTGCGGCGCTCCTTCTTTTGGGGGGGGTGGGTAGCATCAGGGCAGGCAGTGCTGGCTTCTTCCTCCTCCCCGGCTGGGCTCTGCCCCTGGAGAGCAGGCCCCGGGACTGTGGGGAGGAGAGCGAGTGGGTGGGAACTGAGGACCCGAGGGAGACCTTCCTGGCCCCCGGCCTGGCCCTTCCCTGCCGGCAGGAGAGCCTGTCGGGGAGCCGGGAGGCGCCACCCACTCCTGCATCCGTGTCCCTGCAGCTTCTCGGCTTTTTCAAGGGGATGAGCTTCCCGGTGGCAAGCATAGCCATCGTCAACTCCGTCTTGTTCGGGGTCTACAGCAACGTCCTGCTGGCGATCACGTCCACCACCCACCAGCAGCGGCGGGCCCAGCCTCCCACCTACATGGACGTGTTCATTGCGGGCTGCGTCGGGGGGTTTGTACAGGTGAGAGGGGAGGGCTCCCACGTATGCGCGCACACACACACACACACACACACACGTGCCTGCACACGTGAGCGCGATGCCACGAGCCTTGCCCTCGCAGCCCCCTCTGGCAGCCCCACAGCTTCGGAGGACAGGCCTCCCGCAGGGGACCAGGGGGTTGAGGAGCTGTAGAGAAATGGCCGGCTCCCGGCTGCTCCTTGGCGCCTGGCCTAGCCTGGCTGCGCCCCGGCCTTCCAGGCTGCCGCTCTCAAGGACAAGGGTGTGGAGAACAGAGGGGGCCCAAGGCAGAAAGAGCTGGTGGGAATGACACCAGCTAGGCCCACAGCTGTGGGAAGACCTTTCCGTCCACCAGGCGACCTTTGACCCTGGGGAACTGGCAGTTTCAACCTTCCTCCTTCATCCCCAGCCGAGCTCGGGGCCAACCCTGTGGCCATGCTGCCGAGCTCAGCCCCTTTCCTGCAGTGTCTGAGTGGCCACCGTCTGGGAGCCTGCACCTGGCCCCAGCACCACAGCTCTTTCGGGAGACGCTACTCATTCAGTTTTGGTATCTGTTCTCGGCACTTTAGTGCCCAGGCTTTGGGAGGGTGGTGGAGGGGAGAGGGGCCTCCAGGTGCCAGAGGGAATGAGCCAAAAGGGAAGTCCGAGTGGGCAGAGACAGAGGGAGCCCCGTCCCACTCCCCACAAGGCTCCCAACACACTGACCTCGTCCAAGACCCAAGACGGGGACAAAGGACGAAGTTAGGCTGCTGGTCAAGTGAATTAATGATTAATGAGACCCCTCAAGGTCTGGCTTCTCTTCTGCCCCTTCTTGCGGGGGGCATGGTGCAAAACAAAGGACAGAAAAAGGAACGGTTTATATTTGGAAGGAAACATTCTTTGTTGGTTACCAAGGGTGGGAGGGGAGGAAATACTGCGTAAGTAAATAAATAAATAACAAAAGATAGAAGACACACAGCCCCCAGTGATTACGCTCTCCTGAGCATAGAACCCATTCTCTCCTAAACTTGAGCATCTTACCTTGACCTAGGAGCTCTGGTAGCGTAGTGGCTAAGGCACGTGACTGCTAACCAGAAGGCTGGCGGTTCAAACCACCAGCCACTCCTTGGAAGGAAGATGGGGCAATCTACATCCGTAGTGATACTGCCTCGGAAACCCAAGGAGGGGTCGCTATGAGTCGGGTCCTACTCCACGGCACATAACAACAACAACCACCTTGACCTAGTTGCATCCTTGACCCAAACCCCTGACCACCCTCAACCTCCCTCCACAGCCTTGTAGCACCACCCCTCTCCTGGACCCAGTCCCAACACTGTCCCACATCTGTGTCCGCCTGCCTCAGCTGGTGGACAGGAATCCTGGCACCCACGGCATCCCACGTGTCACCTGGCTTCCCTTGCTCACAGGTGTCTGTGCTGGAGGTGTCAGGGTTGCCCTTCTGGGCCTCACAGGCCCATCAGTAGAAGCATGCTGACCTCCTACACCCTGGAGTAGCGTCTGCTCTGACTCACAGGCCCAGCCTGAATCCTTTATTCTGACCCCTGGCATTAGGGAGACTAGAAACCTGGGGGCCCCTAGGGAAAGAACCTGTGTGGCTGTGTGCCTACTATGTGGCGAGCAGTCTCGGTGCTGTTGCGTGGGGCCAATGCCGCTCGCTGTCAAGGCGCCTGATGCTAAGGGAGGTGGCCGGTCCCTACTGCATTGAGACACCCTGACCCGTACCCAAGGTGAGGCCCAGCCTTGCAAGCCTCCTCCCACAGGGAGACACTGGCTGCTCTCACCCATCTCCTTCCTCTGGTTACTGTAAGCGGACTGTGACCAGGGCCTCACACTCCCTCCCTACAGGCCTACTGCCTGGCCCCTTTTGACCTCATCAAAGTCCGGCTGCAGAACCAGACGGAGCCGAGGGCGCAGCTGGGGAGCCCGCAGCCGCAGTATCGGGGGCCGGTGCATTGTATGATTTCCATTCTCCAGAAAGAGGGACCCCAGGGGCTGCTGCGAGGGGCCGGCACCCTGATGCTGAGGGATACCCCCACGTTGGGCATCTACTTCGTCACCTACGAATGGTGGTGCCGCCAGTACACGCCAAAGGGCCAGAACCCCAGTGAGTCCAGTGGGCCAAGAGGAGAGGGGCGGTGGCGGGGGTCGGGGAGCTTGGCGGGCGCTGGGGGAGCTGCCCTGGGAGGAGAGACCCGGGGAGGGCGCTGTCCTCCTCTGACGCTTGCCCCCTGCCCTGGCTGCTTCTGCCCAGGTTCAACCACTGTGCTGGTGGCGGGGGGCATCGCCGGCATCACCTCCTGGGTTACAGCCACGCCCTTGGACGTGATCAAGTGCCGCATGCAGATGGACGGGCTGAAGGGCCAGGTGTACCAGGGGGTGCTGGACTGCATGGTGAGCAGCGTCCGGCAGGAGGGGCCCGGAGTCTTCTTCCGGGGCGTCACCATCAACAGTGCCCGCGCCTTCCCCGTGAACGCCGTCACCTTCCTTAGCTACGAGTATCTCCTCCGCTGGTGGGGATGAGCCAGCCGGGCCCCGGCAACCCCACCTCCCGTTGCCGCCATCCGGGGCCAGGGTGAGAGCACCCAGCTGGCAGTGCCAACGCCAGGGGCTCAGCCCCCTGTGCCACCCACCTTGTCCCGTCAGGGGAGCCTTCCACGCACTGGGCTGGGGCTGAGCTGCTGGCGGTGGGCCCAGGCAGCCGCGGCCTGGACTGGCTGGATCCAGGGCTGCTCTCAGACCCCAGCCCCGCCCTCCGTTCCTTTGCTCCCTGCGTCTGTCAGTGAAGCAGGGACGACGGGGCGGGGCGGGAGCAGATTAGCGGTGGTGCTGGTCACCTTCCAGCCTGTGCCCCGTGGAAAGGCGCCTTGCCTCCTGAGCCCTGTCCCAGGATGTGGCACCCTGGGATCTGGCTTCAAGGACCCTTTGAGCCTCCCCGCCACGGCCTCGATGCCCACCATCCCCTTCCCACCCTCCCTGCCTTCCCCTGCACCACTCAGCGGTCACCCCTTCCATCCCCCTCCCTGCCCAGAGCTGCACAGTGGCTGCACCACCTTCAGGAAGCAGCCAGGCCCCTTCCCCACGGCCCTCCCACCCGTCAGCCCTTCTTCTCCCTGGGGGCCCTGAACAAGGCTTACTCCCACCCCGGCCACAGTGGGCAGTGCCCAGCAGCATGACTGTGCCCATCCTGTGACCCTGCTCCTCTCTGAGGGCCAAGCTGAAGGTCTGTCTCCCGCCGGCCACACTGACTTTGGGCTCCAGGCTCCTGGGCCTGCTCCCCTCTGCCTGCTCCCACCCTCTGGGCCGCCTCTCTGCTTCACTGTAGCTGCCAGTTTCACTTACCCGCCTCACCGTGAGACCCAGCACGTTCAGTAAACGCTTCCGAGAGGAACCTCTGCTTGCATGCCCTCCCTCCCGTGCTTCCCTTCCAACCACAGCCCACGACCCACCTGCTCTCTGGCCCCGCTACATAGAGCCCTCTCCACGGGCGCCTGGCTCCGGCTTTGCATGGCCTTTCTGGTGGGCATGGTGGGCACGGTGGGCTGGTACCAGCACGCCCTCTCAAGGCTGGGATGGTGTGGGGAGTTGAGGGGTGTCCAGTCCGATGGCCTCTGTTTTCTGTACCCGTTGCAGTTGCTCAGTGGGAGTTAAACTGTGGCTGTGAGGGCTCTTTAGTCCTTGGTGACTCTAGGGGGATGTGGGGAGTGCCAACCACAGCGGGTGACAGATGGGTTGACACCAAAACAACTGTCTATAAAGTTTTTGTGCAGTGGGAGCTGTGGATGCTGGTGTGTGAGACGCTGTGGGGGCTGGGCCGGGCGTGGGCACGGGCACCATGGTGCAGCTGGGCCACAGGCCGGTGCCAGAGGAGGCGGCCATTGGTGCCAGAGGCCCGGGGCAGCCCGCAGGCTGTGCACCCACTGGGCCAAGGCCATGGGCATGCAGTGAGGAAGGGACCCTGAGGGCCTGGCCGGATTCCGTATGGTCTGGTACAGGAAGGGGTCTGTGTGTGGGGGCTGATACTATGAGTTACCATACTGGGTGACAGCAACCCCAGTGACACTACTATCTTAGTGGCAATACAGTGGGCATGGTTTGTGTCCATCTACTAATGTCCCCATCTGGTTTGACATCTACCTGATCCACCTCACAGTGACCTGGAGTGACCTGGAGTTGCGGGGCTTCCCACAGAAACCGTGTCAGTGTTACAGCTGACAGAGGTGGCGGCCTTGGCTCTGAGACACTAGTAACTTGTCCCCGCTCACAGAGCTGGTGAGGATGGGACCCCGCTGCTCCACCTGGGCCCTCACGGGGCCCTTCTTTGGCTGTGCAGTCTCCCACGAGCAGGAGTCAGACTCACCCAGTTCAGACTCAGCTCAGCCCTCTGCACATACTTCTGGGTTCTTGCTGTCCAAGCTCTCACTCACTGGATGGTGCGCTGCAGACGGCTGGTGCCACCAGGACCCTTCACCCCTTGTCATAAGGGGGAAGCCAGGGACGTGGCCATGGTCGGGGTCTCCCCTTCCCCCTTTGTCACGGCTTGGCCGTGGGCACATGGCCAGAGGTGAGGGTCTCCCCTTCCCCCCCCTTGTTGCAAGGTGGCCCCATCTTCCTTCCGCAGAGCGGCTGGTGGGTTTGAACCACCGACCTTCTGGTTAGCAGCCGGATGCCTTATCCACTACGCCACCAGAGTTTTAAAGAAGCAAAGCCCAAACCAAACCCACTGCCTGGAGTCGATTCTGACTCACAGCGCCCCTAGAGGACAGAGTGGAACTGCACCACAGGGTTTCCAAGGCTGTCAATCTTAAGGGAAGCAAAGCCCAAACCACACCCACTGCCTTGGAGTGGCTTCTGACTCACAGCGCCCCTAGAGGACAGAGTGGAACTGCACCACAGGGTTTCCAAGGCTGTCAATCTTAAGGGAAGCAAAGCCCAAACCAAACCCACTGCCTTGGAGTGGCTTCTGACTCACAGCGCCCCTAGAGGACAGAGTGGAACTGCACCACAGGGTTTCCAAGGTTGTCATCTTTACGGAAGTGGACTGCCTCATCGTTCTCCTGTGGAGTGGCTAGTAAGTCTGAAGCACCAACCTTTTGGTTAGCAGCTGAATGCTTTAACCACTTCACCACTGCAGCTCCTAGTGTGCGTGTGACAACACCTGCAGAATTGGACGGGACTACTTGGCCTTGATGTATATATATATATTTTTTAATGAGATAGTTGGAAATGGTGAACATCATCCGCTTCCTTCCTTCACATGTTACAACCCGTCCGTTAGGGAGTCCTGCCAACTGCAGTCACTTGCTAACTTCACTTGGTCTCCTGTTTCCACTTGTCCTCGTCACCTCCCCACCCATTCTTCACACAGCAACCAACTTACATTTTTAAAAACTCAAAACAGATCATGTCTTTCTTTTGTCTAAACCTCCCTCCGAAAACCCTCTATGGCGGTTAGCATGACATCAGTGCGGCTGGGCTCACAGGCCCCTGCCCACCCCTCTGGCCTCCTCCGCTACTCAGGCCTCACTGTCTTCCAGCCACGGGCACTCTTTCCTGTTTCGAGCTGTTTCTCACCTTAGATGTTTGTACCTAACGGTTCTCTCTCCAAGGAGCTCTGGAGGTACAGTGGGTGGAACATTTGGCTGCTAAGTAGAAGTTCAGCGGTTCAAATCCACCAGCTGCTCCGTGGGAGGAAGATGGGGCAATCTACTTCCGTAAAGATTTACAGCCTCAGAAACCCAGTCGGGGTCACTGTGAGTCAGGATAGACGCAAAGGCAGCGGGATGGGTTCTCTCGGTAGAGAATGCACCCTCCCTCTTCAGAAGCTCGGCTGTTTCCTTCTTATCAGTCACGGTTCAGCAGCATCTCCCAGACACTCTCCATCAAAAGACCTTCTAGACTAAGACCATGGAAGGCTGAAGGGTCCCCTCCCTGGAAATTGCAGACCTTCAACAGGCTGGCAGGCAGGGTTAAAGCAGACATTCATCACAGGGACTAACTTGCTATTTTCCCCTCTGTGTTGCTTTCTTTTAAGTGAATAGAGTAGCCGATCTTTTCATGGACGCTGATTTCTTTAGATTTGTTATTTTCAATCATACATTCTTCTAAGTATGACCTTCTGCCACGACTGGTGCCAGCCGAGGATGATAGTCTGTTGTCGTGGCCGGCGTGACAATTCTAGAACAGGGGGTAAGAGAATGAGTTAAAAATGAGAGAAAAGTTAAAGGATGGGAACGGGAGGAACACTCAGAGCCATTGCAAAGCAGTGCCAATTTTATTATGATTATTCTCAAACTTATATACAAGTTTAACATGGGAAAAGTGCACAGTTCATATGTCATACAATCAATCACAAGTTAATCAATATTGGGAAAAGTACATGCATACACAATTGGCATATGAAATTTAAACTAACATTCCTGTTCCCATAATTCAAGTCACCACAACTCAGGTCACCATAACCTCTTAAATTCTATACTCATTCTTCTATGTAACTAAGTTCCCTAGAAACCTATGTTCCCTAGCAACTAGTTTAGATTGGCTTCTGCATATTCTGGGTTCAATGAAAGGTTATGGCTCTTTTGCACCTGCTGTTTCTCTGAACAACACAAGGGAGAAAATGGCTGATGGTGTTCTAAGAGCAGGGCTCAACCTTCAGGGACACTTAAGAGCATCAACCCACAAGACTTAGGGCCCATCAGTCCTTATGGGGACACTTAAAAGTATCAACCTATTTCTGGGAGCCGTCGCTCAATTAGTCACTCACCATGTCCCAACAGTCCTTTAAGACTTAGGGCTCTCCACAGTCTGTGAACCAAGATGACCCGGGAAAGAGGGATGCCGAGTCCAGAGTAGCCACAGAAAAGAAGAACAAAGACGTTCCTGAGGGTCCAAGAGATCTTCCGACCCCTTCCCACCTCCCTATGTAATCATGTTTCCCCCTCTGTCAGGGAGACAGATAGTTTAGAGAATGGTTCTCTCTGTCTCCTTGAATCTTTATACTCATTAAATTCTTTGGCTTTTCTACTTCGACCTGTTTTGGTGATTGGCTCTGCTTGTGACAGGTGGTAAGGATCTCACTGTTTCTGCTTCAAGACTAGGAAGAAGGGCCTGGTAATCTATTTCCAAAAGTCATCCAGCATAAACCCTGTGGTCACAACAGTCCAGCCTGGGATGGTGCGGGCCTGGGCAGTGTTGGTTCTGTTGTGCGTGGGGCTGCCGTGAGTCAGGGGCCACCTTGACGGCATCTAACAACACTGACAACTTACGACTACCTTAAGGTACCACCTTATTGACTTGTTGATTCTTTATCATGTTCTAGTAGAAGGTAAGGGCCTTGAGAGCAGGGATCCTCTCTCTCATGTTCAACACCAACTCCCCCAAAGAACGAAAAAACAAACCCACTGCCATTGAGTCGATGCCAACTCATAGCAACCCCCATTGGGTTTCTAAGGCTGTAAATCTTTACGAGAATAGATTGCCCCATCTTCCTCGGAGCAGCTGGTGGGTTTGAACTACTGACCTTCTGATTATCAGCCAAATGCCTGATCCACTGCACCACCAGAGCTCTTACCACCAGCTTCATAGGCCGAGAACAGGGCCTCAGCCACAAGCTAAGCATTCAGTAAATGGCGCTTGGGAAAAGGAGTCACCTACAAGTTGGTGATGCCTGCTAAAAGGCTCTGAGGCTTAAGCTCGATGAATCTGTCCATTACAAAAGGACCATGATTCTGATTGGTTTGAGCCGCTGTGATGATGTTATCATTCCCATGATGAGAGCTGATGCAAGGTAGTCACCTCCATGGTGGGATATACTGTGAGCAGCCAATCAGTGGAAAGGCAGTTTTCTCAGGGGTGTCGCCTGCTTCCTATATATATATATATATATATATAAGCTCTCTCTGGTAGCATAGTGCCTAAGGCACTTGACTGCTAACCAGAAGGCTGGCCATTCAAACCCACCAGCCACTCCTCAGAAGGAAGGTTGGACAATCTACTTCTGTAGTGATACTGCCTCGGAAACCCAAAGAGGAGTTGCTGAGTTGGGTCCGACTCGACGGCACATAACAACAACATATATACATCCTGGGAAAATTCTTGGACTTTCTGTTGGATCTGGATCTTGCATCTAGCTTCTGAGTTTTTGGAGTTGAACCAGTGGCCTGCTGTGTTGTCTGCCAATCTTGGAATTATTTCCTTCACAGCCTTTGAGCCCCTGGGGTCTTAAAACCTTGCAAGAGGCCATCCAAGGCACAACAATTGGTCTCTAGTCACCTGGAGCAACAGAAGGAGAGTGGGGAATAGGAAGAAGATACAGAATATGTGCCTATTTGCCTCCAGGAACAACTGCCTCCTTTTCCATGAGACCAGAAGAACTGGATGGTGCCCAGCTACCATTACTGAACATTTTAATAAAAGATTCTATGGAATCCTGATCAAAAGGGGGAGAATGCAGAACAGAATTTCAAATACTCACGGAATCTAGGCTTTCTGGAGCCACAGAAGCTTGATAAGCCCCTGGAACCATTGCCCTGAGATCATCTTTAAATTTTAAATCAAAAATATTCCCTGAAGTCTTCTTAAATCCCAGTAACAGGTTAGCTTTTCCAGTGAAGAAAGCCCGCCTTGAGTGTTGTGTTCTTTTAAGATCTATCTGTTTGGGTTCACATTGACAACAGCCACTCAAAAGTCTACACAGGAAACTTAGAGTGCAGTGAATTAAAAAAAAAAAAACTGTGATTTCAGTGAAAGCTTATAGAGCAAATTCATCTTCCATACAACGGTTCAAATACATTTTGTTTCACGACTGATTGCAGTCCCCATAGTATAACAGCTGTCTTCCCCCTTTCTCCCTGTGGTTACCTTTTCCCCGTGTCCTTCTTTGCTATGCATTCCTGTCCTCTGAGCTATCGCCCAGTGCAAATGTTGCCCTTCTGCTCTCCCATGGTTGATCGTTCTAAGGAGTGTACCTAACTCAAACCAAACTCACTGCCATCAAGTCGTTTCCAACTCATAGTGACCCCCGTTGGGTTTCCGAGGCTGTAAATCCTTACAGAAGTAGATTGCCCAGTCTTCCTTGCACGGAGCAGCTGGAGGGTTTGAACTGCTCACCTTCCAGTTAGCAGTCAAATGCCTAATACACTATGCCACAGAGCTCCTTAAGGAGTGTGCCTACCTGGTGTAAATGTTCACCCTATATGCCTGTCTGTTGTTTGGCTAGAAGCCGTGGGAGTGAGTTCAGTTGTGGGCCATGGTCTCGGGGGTTTCCCCAGGCAGAGGGCAGTGAATTTATGGTAATGAGAGAATGACAAAAAAAGGGAAGGTGAGGAGTGTTGCCCAGCTCGAAGGATGGGATTGGTGTCCTTAATCATTCGTGCAGAAACCATCAAATTAGTGCAAGTTTTGCTGTGTATATTCCCAACAACAACAAACACATTATTTTTTGAAATGCTCTGGGAAGGAGTCAACAGCATCTGCCGTGTTGCATCATCACTCCTGACAGGAACATGACATCTCAGAGCGGAAGGGTGAGCCACCATCCACTCTCGCTGGCTTTGGTCAGGCCTTCAGAGACAGAGTAATTTTGGTTTCAGCATTTTTAAACGTGTCAGAATTGCAGTGACTTCAGAAAATAGTGACAATGAATACAGAGTGGGGAAGAACAGAATCTGTGGGAAGAAGCGGGCGGGCCTGCGAGCCCTGGGTTAGGAGGTGGGGCCCCAGGCAGCTTCAGAGCCGTTAGAAAGGGTCTCACTGTCACATGCCGCCTGGTGTTGAGGGGCTCAGTTAGGACAAGGAACCAACCGAAGGTAACAATCAAGTCTTTATTCTCTCACTGCGCCGGGTGCAAGCGGGAGGAAAAGGAAGCGCCAGCTCCCAGTGTTCCATCTTCCCCCAGGTACTGGGTGAAGGTCAGACGACGTGCAGCACTGCCTGGGAGCCGGAACCAAAGCCCCGCCTCTTTAGAGAAGCCTGGGCTGGGAGGAGGGATGAGGGGGCGGGCGAGAAGTGGGAAAGTCCTGAGTGGAAGTGGAGAGGTGGCCCAGCCAAGGCGCCCCCGTGAGGAATGGAGGCACCCGGCAGATGTGCTCAGGAGCATGTTAGGGGGATGGGTAGGGAAGTGGCGCCCCAAGACCTTGACTGCAACTCCCTCCGAAAACTACAGCTTGCTGGCTGGGGACCAAGTCTGGCTTGGGGAGGGCAGCTGACTGCCCAGAGCCTTGCGGTCTGGCCTGAAAGATCACACGTAGGATTTTGGCCAAACTCCGCCCCAGCCAGAGTCTGTCTGTGCCCAAGGCCCATGTCCACTGCAGGTAAACAGTTCTGTCCCCACTGCACTCCCTCAGTCTGGGCCAGGTGTCACCACGTCTCACCTGGCCAGTGTCAGAAGCTCTCCAGGGCTCCTGTCTCTGACCCACCTTATCGCCCAGTTACCATCCTATATAACCCCTAGGATGACCTGTCCCTGCACTCAGCTTGGTGACCAAAAGCTCGTCCTCTCCGCCGGGCGTCTTACACCACTGCGTCCCCTTCTGCCCCCTGGCCGCCCACTCTGTGCTCCGTCACCTCCAGCCGTTTCTGCTCCCTTAGCCTGGAGCATTCTTCCCACGCCTTCTCTGTCCCTCTGTCCTCCCAGTTGTAGTTCAAAGGACACCTCCTCCATGAGGGCCTCCAGACTTGATGGGGCTGTGGCACCTGCAAAGCCTCTGTCACAGCCCTTAGCCACATTCCACTATCACAGCCTGCGAGTCCCATCCAGCAGAGACGCCATCTTGACCACCGTATCTCATAGGCCCTTTGCTGAAGAGATGGTAGGAAGTGAACACGTGAATGAGAAAAATGAATGAATGACTTGCTCAAGTTCTGGCTCCTCCTGTTGCCTTGACATATCCACCTCTTTCCTCAGATGTCACCCCCCTCCTCCCCACTGCAATCTGACAGAAAAATTATCAAAGAGACAAAATGTACTAGACAATACCAGGGATGTGTCTTGTCCTTAAACTTCATCTCTCACTAGCTCCAAGGAGATGTCCCCCTTCTCTGAGAGCCCTTCCTGCTGAAATTCTGGAAGAGAAGGACCCCTGCTGGTCACCCACAGCACTGCAGCAACTGTCAGATTTTAAAAATCAGAGTTGAGCAGTTCCACTCCCTCTCATGAAAACGAATCCTGGCCTCTTCTCTAATGAAAACAAAACAAAACACCCTTTATTTCCAGAAGAACTGTTTTTAACACAGAGTTCAGGGGATCTGCCTGTCTGTAAAGCCCAAATCCCACCTTCCCCAAGTCCCAACCTCCTTTAGACTAACTCCCTCTAAAACTCTAGAACTTTGAAGTGGGGTTTAGAAACTACAAGGCCTAGGTTCCCTAACATCCACTATCCCTATGCCCCATTGTCAGACTCCCCTTCCTCAGGGTCTGAACAACCTTCATCCGGAGCCTAGACCTGGTACCCCAACTTGTCTCCCTTTTCAGAAAAGCTTCATTTCCACGGGAAAGAGATGAGCCCCGTCTGCCTCGGGGGAAAGAGGGGGCGTTTCCCTGGGAAACAGGAGAGGAGGGGACGCCGGTGCGCTGTCCAGGGGCCTTCCACCCCAGGCAGCAGAGGCGCTCCACCTCCTCCTCACAGTCATAGAACTTCTCAAAGAGCTCCCGGGAGGTGCCGCTGCACTCGAGCCACCTCCTCAGCGTGCCCAGGGCGCGGAGGGCGTCGGCCTTGGTGGGCAGGGGCTCGTCCTCCCGGGGCCCCTCTGTGTCCTCAGTGCCTGTCTCCTCTTTGCACACTCTGGAGGCTGGCTCCTCATCCTCCAGGTCCACGAAGCGGGCAAACTCCTCCAGGCTCAGCCCAAGGGGGACCGGGGGCACTGCAGAGGCTCTCTCTGGGGACGGGGGCGTTCTGCCCGGCACCAGCCCTTCCTGAATGAAGCTGCTGCGTATGAGCTGAGCAGGCACCTTGGCCCAGGCCGCCGCCGCCAGGTGCACAGCGTCCAGCACTGTGATGCCCGCGCCGGCCTCGGCCAGAGAGACACCGGCCTGCTCACTTTGCACCGCAGCCAGCTTGCCCAGCAGCCGGCGTCGGTAATGGGCCTTGAAGGCCTGCACCACGGAACTGGGCAGGGAAGGTGGGGTGCTGGTGGCGGCCAGAGGTAAGAGCCGCACGTGGCAGAGCCCAGGCAAGTCCGCCCACTCCTCCACCCCACGTGCACCCAGCAGCAGGGCTACCTGGCGGCCCTGGCGTCCCATGTCCCGGTCAAACTGTGCCAACCACTCTGCCCAGGGGATGCTCAGCTCAGGGTGGTAGGAGGCAGGCAGGGCCTCAATGCTGACCCCAAAGAAGCACCTCGGGGTGGCCTGGCATCCCCCCACCAGCACCCGCCGCTTCTCTGTGCCCCTGCTGTTGGCACATAGCAGCACCCGAACCAGGTCACAGGCACTGACCCCGCCAGGCACCGCCCGATAGAGTAAGGGCACCTCAGCGCAGCCAAACACATCCTCTGGGGAAAAGTCTTTCAGGGAAAGAGGCAGCTGAGACTGGGCCAGGACCCCTGGAGGGGGCGGCTCCGGGGGGAATGGAGGCGCCACGACATGGCGGGCCCCAAAGCCAACGTTGTTTCGGCGTTTCCAACGGACCAGCCAGCCCACGCTGGGCACGAAGTCTTGGCCCATGAGGTCAGCCAGCTCCTTTGCTTTGTGGAGCAGCATAGGCCCCGTCACGTCCCAGGCCTTGGCCCGTGCGATGTGGTACCAGCAGAGCAGGGCCTCGTCGATGCCGCTGTACTTGGACTCCCGCTGGCGCTTGCGCTCACGGTTGGCGGTGCCACTGCACCAGTCGGCCAGCAGCTTCTCCTTGTTCTTGCAGATGCGCGAGATCTGGGGCTGGGACACCCGGAAGCGCCGGGCCACTTCCGACTGGGACATCTTGGACCCGTCCAGGAGCTCCAGCACCTGGATCTTCTCGGCCAGGGACAGGGCATGCAGCTTCTTCTTGCTGTTCAGCTCCATGGTTTCTCGGCAGCCCCTGTGGGGGAGGAAGTGATCAGAGACACCCAGAGGCCAAGACCAAGGCCAAGGCCGGGAGTTGAGAGCAGGCATAGTCAGGAGACGGGGGTGAGGATGGGCAACAGGCTGGTGGAGATGCCAGGGGAGGCTGGGCCGCTGGGGTGGGGACACGCTCACACTGGGTAGGAGGTGAGTGGGCCGGGCCCTGACCCCGGACGATGCCAGAACAGAACTGAGGGTGGTGCAGAAACAGTGAGGTTCTTACCACCTGTCCCAAGGACGGCCAAGCACCACAACAGGTTGAAGTGGAAAAGCAAAAGGTTTATTGACTATCGAGACCGAAGGAGACAGAATCACTTCTCTAAAAAGTCTGTCTCCCCAAGCAAAGGGATAAGCATGATTATATAGGGAAATAGGGAGGGGGTTGGACACCTCTTGGACTGTCAGGAACGTCTTTGTTCTTCTTTTCTGTGGTTACTCCAGACTCTGTGTCCTTCTTCCCGGAGTCGTCTTGCTTCATAGATTATTGTCCTCGGCCGAAACCAGTCATGGGAGAGGTTCATACTTAGAAGAGTGTATAACTGAAAATAACAAACCTAAAAATGTCAGTGTCCATAAAGAGGTTGGCTATTCTAATCACTTAAAAGAAAGCAAAGAGATGGGAGAAATAGCAAGTTAGTCCCTCTGGTGAATGTCTATTTTAATGATGCCTGCCGGTCTATTCAAGTTTTTGGAATTTGCAGCAAGGGGTTCCTTTGGCCCTCCACACAGGGTGTCTGGTCAGAGGGAGGGGGGCCTGGACTGGAGTTTGGCATAATTGGGGGAGAAGGATTAATAAAGCCAGGGGACAGCTGCAGAGACAACAAAAGAGTGCGGCCGGGGAACACCTGGGGCTGGACTCAGTGGGCAGGTGTACGGGGACCATCAGGGCTGGGGGGCAGGGGTGCTGGAGGGAGGGGCAGTGATAGCCCGGGCTGGATTTGGATAAAGGGATGTATGTGTGTGCACAGAGTTGAGGTGACAGGTGCCCAGGCGACAAAAGGGGACGGACAGATGGGTATGAAGGGATGAGCGGAATTTGGTGCTGGGTCCTGAGGGTAAAGGTTGGGCGAGGTCGGGTCTGCAGGAGTCAAGAGAGCCAGGTGCACGGGCGACAAAGGGCAAAGGGCGAGGAGATTGCAGGCAGCAGAGGGCAGGAGTCCCTGCGAAGAGGGAGGTGCTCCGGGAGAGGTCCAGGCGCGGGACGCGGCCAGGGAGTCCGGGCCGCCCCGGGGCCAGCCTCTCCCAGCGCGCCGCCGCGGTCGTCGGCGGGGAGGAGCGGGCGCCCGCCACCTCCCTCGCCCTGCCTCCCGCTGCGCACCCACCTCAGGCGCTCGTCCCGCTGGCTCCCGCCCCTGCTTCCGCGCCCCTGCCCCGGCGGCGGAGGGCGCGCAGAAGGGGGCAGCGAGGGCGGCAGGCGGCGGGCTCGCGCACACAGGCACTCCGCGCGCGCCGCCCGCGCCGGGCCCTCTCCCGGCTACGGAGTCCGTGGTGCGTCCCCTTGGCGCCAGCTGCCGTAGCCCCGCCCCTGCCAGACCAGATTGGCCTTCTATGGCGTCCTGTCCCGCCCCTGCCTAACTCTCATTGGACGTTGAGGAAAGGCGGTTCGTCGGTCTGTGTGTGGGCGGAGCTCCCGCGCGGGGCGGGAGGCAGAACCAGGACCTGGCTAGAGTCCCCAGGCTCTGCCAGCCGCCCGCCCGGTCCTGGGCCTGACGAGCCTTCGGGTGGCTTGGGGACCGGAGGGCAGACTCGGCGTCCCCCGGTGACCTGGGCAGACTGTGTTTCTTCAGCTCTCAAACAGGGCTAATACCTCTCGGAGTGGTTTTGAAGGAATGACGAAAGAAAATGGATGAAAGCTTGGAACCACACAAAAGCTAGTTACCATGGACAGCGCTGGCCTCGCCCTCCATCAGCCCGTCTAGTTCTAGGGCTAATTGCTATTAGTTTTGGTACCTGTTTGCAAGATTCAAGGAGCTCTGGTGGCATAGTGCCTAAGGCACTTGACTGCTAACCAGAAGGCTGACGGTTCAAACCCACCAGCCACTCCTCAGAAGAAAGGTTGAGCAATCTACGTCTGTAGTGACACCGCCTCAGAAACCGAAGGAGGGGTCGCTATGAGTCGGATCCAACTCGAGAGCAGTGCGTTTGGTTTTTGCAAGATTCAGGCTCCTAAATTCAAGATCTAATAACATCCCCTCCCTTGCTCCTTCAGCCCTGCCTGTACCCCTTCATTGGAAATAACGTCAATACCTTAAACGCCAGTCCAAGGCAGCAGTCTCCCCTCTCAGCCGACTTAAGTGTCTCTAAGTTGCCATCTTCCCCACAGGCTTCCTTCCATCACCACCCCCGATTCTACCAGTTGATATTATCATGCCTTCCAAGTCCCATCCTAAAATCACCTGCAAACCCTTCCAGGAGCCCTGTCTCAGTGGTGAAAGGGCTCACCTGACCACTGAAAGTTGGTTGTTCAAACCCACCGGGCGATCTGCTAGGGAGAGAGATGTGTCAGTCTGCTTCCGTAAAGATTTACAGCCTTGGAAACGGCTTGTCCCACAGGGTCGTCGAGTCAGACGGCTAACACACCCGCTGGAGCATTTGCGTTTCCCTCCTGCCCTGCTTCCGTGTAAACACACGCGGACCGGCAGTGCTCTGCTTCTGACAGTCCTGACCCAGAGCAGTTACTGAGCTTCTTCTCTGAACCAAGAAGCCCAGGCCACGGCCTTTCAGCAGATTAACTAACAATAGCTTTCAGATTATTTCAGAAAACCTGAGGGGTTCCATAATTAATGCAAACATTTATTTTAAAAAAAGTTAAAGAACCTCAAAACACACACTCAAGCAGGATATAGAATAAAATTGAAGGACACCGTCAATTGTTCACTTTGCAGGGAAACTCACTTTTGTGTATGTGAACACGTTATCCCCAAAAAACCGCACCGCCATTGAGTGGATTCCAAGTCATAGTAACCGGAGGACAGAGAACTGCCCCATAGGGTTTCCAAGGCTGTCAATCTTTACAGAAGCAGACGACCTCATCTTTCTCCTGTGCAGTAGCTGAGTTCAAACTGCTGACCTTTTGAGGTGGTGTAGTGCTTCAGGCATCTGACTGCTTACTAGGTCGGCAGTTCAAACCCACCAGCCACTCTGCGGAATGAAGTCTGGGCAATCCACTCCTGTAAAGATTTATTGCCTCAGAAACCCGATGGGGGTTGCTGTCAGTCGGAATCCACTTGATGGCAGTGAGTTAGGTTTTTCTGACTGCTTTAACCGCTGTGCCACCAGATCTCCTTCCACATACGATCAGGAGGGCTGAGCCGCTACAGGGTACGTGCACAGTGGAGGGTCAGCCAAACAGGGAAGAGGTTCCGTGAGATGGACGGACAGTAGTGGCACTAGGCTACCAGCATCCCAACACTCGTGAGGGCGGTGCAGGACTGGGCAGTTCTCTTGTCTCCATAAGGCCACCATGGTGGGTATCTGTTGTTGTAAGGCCACCATGAGTTGGACCCACCTGGCACCTAAGACCCCCCCCCCCGACAGCTGCAGTGCTGCACCAGTGTTGGTTCAAACCCAGCCAGGGGTGCTCAGCTACGGCCCGAGCACTTCACTCATTGCGGACAAAGCTCTCCTGTCACGGGGGATACAAGCTTCCTCACATCATCAGTTTCTGGTGCTTTTTTTCCTATGCTTCCACATCAGGCTCAGTATCTGACATCGCAAGGTCACCTGTCACAAGCCTGACACCCCTGCAGCTCTTCACCTAGGCCGGACATTTTCTCCATTCAACCAACCAAAACCTAAAGTCAGCAGGATGCTATGGCTGACTGTCACCCAATCAAATTTTGTATCATCAAAACAGCCTCACTGTTCCTTAGAGTAGGGAATTGCTATAAACTAGAACTTACATAACAAGTGAAAATCAAACCACTAATTTTAAGTCTGCTTTATACATTGGGGCTCAACAACTGCAAAAAAAAAAAAAACTGGGACAAAAGAGTGCTTCAGAACATAAACAGTGCCCTAAGGGAAAAAGTTTCAGGACAAAGTGGGCTTTTTAACTGAATGGGGTGAGGTGATAAACCACCCAGCAGAGGTCTCTGTGTAAAAATGTTTATTTGTACTAATGTTTAGAACACAGGAACTAAAGGGGGAAAAAAAAAAAAAAAAGGACCTCAACTCCAAAGCAACAGTGAATTAGGGTCTGCCCATGGCCTTGTGGGGGGAGGGCACTCCAGGGTACCCTGGAATGGACTGTCCTCCCACTACTGAATGTCAGTGCACCAGGCAGGTAACTGAGCCATCAGGGCGTCTCACCAGCTGCTAGCGAGCGTGCACGGGGGGGATGGCTGCGTGGCGTCCCTGTGACCCAGGAGCCAGGAGGCACAGGGCAAGGGGCAGAGGCGCCCTCTTTAGAGTTAAGGACAGAAGGCCGAACGCCCAGGTCCAGGAAGAAGAAAAAGGGGATTTCAGAGGTAGGCTTTTACATCGAGTTAAAAAACAGGCACATTATCCATTGTCTGTCTCCCTGTGGCCCCAAGCTGCTGGCCTGGCCCCCTGACGCTTCCCCTCTCCCCACAAAATCAAAGAGAATAAGGAGGGGAGGCAAGAAATTCTGAGGGTGGGAATGCTTCAGTCACTAGACACCAGGTGAGCATGGGGAGAAGTGGGGTGAAGCTGCCGCTCCCCTGGAGTGGGGTGGGCAGGGCAGAGCCAGGGGTGACCAAGTACATCCTGGCTTGGGCTAAGGAACCCCTGGAGCAGAACGGAGGGCTATGGAGGGAGGTGGTGGAGCGGCCCAGCAGGACAGGGCACGGAAGCTCACAAGCAGGGCCTTGGCCTCTCCGTCACTAGCTCCCAGAGTTCCTGGCAGGGGCCCCGACTGGCCCGCCCCTGGGGGAGGGAAAACCCTGGAGATCAGAGCAGAGGCAGAGCCCAGAGAGAAGTGAGCTGCTCCTCGCCCTTTCTCGGAGGACACCGTGTGAACCCTGTGACAACCAGGCCGGGGCCCAAGGCAAGCCGAGTGAATGCACTTCTCGGGGAGCAGGGAGGAGCTGGGCCCGCAGGTGCGCCCAGGGCAGCGGCCACTCCTTTCTCCCTGAGGACCTGGGGCCGGAGGCAGGTTGGCATGACCACCCCGAGATTCTCTGGACTTGTGAACAATTGCAGGGGAGGGACGGGTATGACAACGAGAGGAAGAGAGAAAACAGCCCTAGATGTGGGGGTGGGGGCCGCATCAAGAGGAGTTCTGGTTCTGGTAGATGGACGCTTTCTCCTTCAACAGGTCCAGACACAAGTGGCAACTCCAGCTTCCTGCAGAGAAGCACAGGGGTGAGGGTGTGGACCCTGTGATCCTAATGCTGCCAGTCCTCTCCCTATACCTGTCCTCTCCAGAGGCAGCGTCAGCTACAGTGGGACGGGAGGCGTCCCACCGTAGAAGGTATCATAGTATTCTGGGCTGGGAGGAACCTCAGATCCGCAAATACAGTAAAAAAGTACCAAGAAAGAAACCATGAGTCCCTTGTAGGACAGTTCTAGAAAATCAAAGGCCTGGCCCTCTCGGCCCCAATGAATCCCAATCTTGCAGTAGGAGAAGGGCTGGGCACAGGTCTTGTTCAACGGCCCAGCTCTAGACTCATGATTCCAGAAGCACCAGACTACATCCCATGTCCCCAAAGGCTGGAGCAAAGACCGTGAAGAGAGGCTCCTGAGAAACCCACTGTAACTGCACATGGGCTGGGGCCGTCTGTGGTCCCACCTGCGGCCAAACAGGCTCCCCGCCTTCACCGACGGGTGTGAGCAGAGACAAGGACCGATGGGCAGACCAGGAGGTGGGCGATGCTGACCTCACCTGTCCCGCTTCACAGAAAACCAAGAAAAACGGCAGCCCCTCCCATCACCATTCACGGGGAAGGGAGGCTTCTGAGCTTTTTTCAGAGATACAAGATCAGCCCCTGACGCCTTGCAGTTAACTACAAGCCTAACCATATGTGGATCTGTACGTTCCGCTGGGGGAAAGGACCCACATTTTTATCTAATTTTCAGAGATATGTGTAAGGAAGGGTCCACTGAAGAGCAGTGACCTACTCAGGGTCCAGGTTCAAGTCTCTTCTAGAAGAGAGAGTGAGTGCACACTCAATCTGTCAAGTTCAGACAGCTGACACCAAAGCTCCCCACAGCCCAGCTCCTGAGTTTCCTGAATTGGCCGAGGAAAGCATGTCCTCCTGGGGCATGGCTCACTGCTTAAGACCTGTTTCCTCCTGACGGTGAATACACCTGTGGATAACATGTCAATACTAAAGCCTTCAAGTTGAAATGCTGGACATTTCAAGTTGTAAGTACTCTGAATGGAGCCAAGGCAGTCCTTCCTCCCCGTTTTGAGAGGACAAATAACCAAGAGAGTCAGAACGCAGACCTCAGTGTATACTGTACGCAGCGTGTACTGTAGGGTGATTCCCACATTACTAATAACTGCTCCAAGTAGGAGATCTGGGCACCTTACCTTCGGGAGGCTCGGACATGGATGGGGTAAGACAGTACATGTGGTAGCCACGATCACAGTCATCACAGAAGAGCAGCTGGTCCTGGGTAAGGCAAGAAGGAAGAGTGGGGCTGAGTGATGTGCCTCAGGTGGGGCACTGGAGGCGGGCAGGGGCTGGCCCTGGAGGCGGGCAGGGTCGGGCACTGGAGGCGGGCAGAGACGAGGGCTTATGGAGACACTGCTGCTACTTCCAAGAGGGGCAGGTGGAGGGAAGGTCAGATGAGGGAGACCACTTCTGTCCATCTCCACCCCAGACCAAGTCATCGTCATCTCCCATCTGGACTCCACAATCACGTCCTAGCTGATCTCACGGCTTCTGCTCTTATCCCATACCATCTATTCCCCGCAGAGCAGGCAAATTACCTTTTCAAAATGTAAGACAGAAAGCCACTTCCCACTGTGCTCAGACCTGGTGGTGCCTACCTCTCTGATCTCAACCTCCTGCCATGCCCTCACTCAGAAAGCTCTAGCAGTTACTGGTCTCCTCAACCACTGGGCTTGCCCACCTCACGGCCTTTCCACCTGTGGCTCTTGGGGGAATGCTCTCAAAATCTTCTTGGACTGGCTCCTTGGTATCATCCAAATCGCCATACACCTCAGAAAAGACACCTCGACCCTCAGCTCTACACTGGCATCCCAGTCACTCTCGGCCATGTTGCTGGTTTCAGTTTCCTCACAGCACCCATAAAGACCTCAGTCTTTTCCCAACACAGTGCTTGTTCCCACAAGAATGTAGGCGCCCTGCAAGGAGGGACCTGACTGTCTTTAACACCCTCAGTGTCTACAACGGTTCCTGACACATAACAGGTATTTGAGAAACAGCTGCCCAACAAACCCGAGTTCCGACTGTGGTGCTAGGAGAGGGGACATGCAGGAGGGACCTGACTGACTTCCAAAACAGTGCACTTTGGTGGGAGCGCTGGGAGGAGGAGAGCGGAGGAGACTTGCTGGCGGGGGCAGCGGGCTACGCACGTCGTTCTCGGAGGTGCCGCAGATGTTGCAGCACTTGCACTCGATGCACTGCCAGCGGTAGGTCTTCACGGCCGCCATCATCACCGGGGTGAACTGAAGGCAAGACGGGTGTCCTGTGGGGAGAAGGGCGTCAACAGGCAGCTGGAACTGGCAATGGGAGTGGCGCCCACTGTCTCGGGCTGCATCTGCTCTTGCCCGGGAGAAACAACATGAACTGGTTGGCTGTGACAGCCACTGGAAGCCAGAAAGCGAAGAGCCACTGGGGGTGGTGCGCCGCGGCAGCCCTCTCCATGAGGACAGAGGTACCTGAGCGGCCACAGTCAGAACAGGACACCAGCTCCTCAGGTTGTCCCGTCTTCTTGTTGATCTTCGAGTCCCCCAAGCAGAAGTCGCAGTAGTTGTTGGGCAGGGCCAATCCGTCGGGGCCTTTTTTGGCTACAGGGAGAAAAGAGAAGAGACTGGGTGACACCCACAGAGTCTCTGGGCCACTCAACCCCCCACAAGAAGGGGCGCTCCTAACCAGGCCCACTCCCGCCTGCCCAGCACCTCAGCTTACATTTCTGCTCCTCGGACCTCTGGGAGACAGGGGTGGGTGGTTGGGAGTCTTCCTTATCTTCACCCTCCTCCTCAGCCAAATGGGAGTGGGCATAGTGGTAACTGAGGCCCGGTCGGTTCTTGTAACGTTTTCCACAAACTTAGGGGGAAGAAGATTGTGAAAAAAAGGTGTTAGGATCTGAGAGTGCCACATTCTACCCCTGCAACACCTCCCAAGGCACACCAACCAACCCCCCGACCCCAAGCGATCAACTCTGTCCTGAGACAGGCATTTAGAGACAGCCCCTCCCCTGAGCCAGGAGCATTAGGCCCCAGGGCTCTCCAGCTTCTGGAGCCCTTCTCCCTCCTAAACCCCAGCCCCAGGGGCACCACTGTTTCTTCCACATGGGCTCTTGGGAAGTCTTTGCCTTTGCTCCATCACCACTTGCCCAGGTTAGGAAAGGGAAGGGACTCCTAGGGTCTTACAATTTGGCAGGAAAGGGGAGAGGTAAGGAAGAGACTCCAAGCTTCTCCACCCTCAGTACCCTGGATGCACACAGAGCCCACCTCAGCCAGATGTGGATAAAGGAGTAAGGAGGGTGGGGGGGTGCCCTGGAGAACCTGTCAACTGAGTCTGCCAGGGAATTCGGCCCCCAAAGAAATTCACACACACTTCCACATCAGTGCCCTGCCCAGCCTCCACCACCAGCCAGGCAGGCAGATCCCCATGAGGCATCCTGTAATCTCGGGCAGCGAAATGAAAGGCAAGGGGCCAGCAGGGAAGGAACGGGGAGAGAGGATGGGAGGAAGCAGGGGTGGTGGGATGGTAGACAACATCAGCTGACCACCAACTGTCTGTCTGGGGAAAGGCGCAGAGGAATCTGTCTGTACCAGACTCCTGGGAATGCTTTTGAAGCCACCCATGCAGTGGGCCCAAGCTGCTCTAGGGCAGGTCTGTGGGAGACGAGCAGTGGTCAGGGCAGCTCTTGGACCCCGAGGAGCAGAGAGGAACTGACACTCCCTCCACCGTCCTATTCCCATGCCATCCCAGAGATTTTCAGACTAGCATCACAGGAAGTGAGAAAGGCAGGAGGAACAAGGGAGGAGGGAAAAAGGGACAGGAAAACCACAGTCTGAAAAGTTGAGAAAGCTACCTCTCTGGGGCGCTTTCGAGGTATGCTTTTGTTTGAAACTATCTGAAACACAGAAAGAAAAGTCATGAGAGGAGGCCTGGATACACTCGAGACAGAAACGGCAACAGCAGAAAGTGCAGCAAACGAGAGAGAAACCCCAGGGTGGAGGACAGAACGGGGCAAGCCAGAGAGGAAGGGGGACAACAGCCATCGAGCAACTCAGTGTCAGACCCCTGGGGTCCTGGCTGCCTGCCGCGGGGACCCCGCTCCCACACCGGAGAGAAGCAGAGAACTCGTCCCAGCATGCAGGTCCCACCCATCGTGTGGCAGACACAGGGCCTCCCAGGGGTCTCAGTGGGAGCCAGTCAGCAGTAGGACAAGCACACAGGCTTGTTTCATAACCCTCCCCGCTTCTCAAATGCTGACTGGAGCTGGGTCCAAGGTCCTCAGGTCTCTAACTCTCTGTGAGGCACTCACTGTCACAGGCATAGGGCTTGTCCCGATCCTCCAGAATGGAAGCGTCCAGCTTCTTACGGGCAGTGCTCACACCTTTACTCTGCCAAGGAGAACAAAACGACATCCTCACCAAGGTGTCTGGGCCTAGGGAGCTCCTTTCTCCTGCAGGTGGCTGCTAATCTCACTCCAGAGAAGAGAAGGAAGGAAATGGTGGGACCCCCAGGACTCCCTGCCCCAGCTGTTGCAGCCCCAGCCCCTCACCTTGGCTTTTCCCTTGCCCCGACGCTTGGGGGTGTCTTCCTCGTAGTCTTCATCATCAAGGTCATCCATGAAGTCATCCGGTTCTAGGATCCGCTGAGTGGATGGGAGGGTTAGGACGGGCAGGAAGCATGGATCCAGAAGCTCCCCCCCAACGGAACTGGTCAAGGCTGCCTGGCCCTCCTGTGCCCTGGCCCCACCCACCTCCGCTTCCATTCTCACCACAGTCTTTCAAGCCTCCTCCAGCGCTCCAGGCCTCCCTTCATGTAGCTCTCTTGCCAAATATGTCTTCCCCACCACCTCCAGAAGGCCAGTCAAATGCTACGTCTTCACTGAGCTTTCCCCGAGACCCTAGTAGGCACCTCCTCTCCAGCTGTGCACTGCCACAGCATGGGATCGGGTTCCCTTCTGACACCTCACTTCCCACACTGAAATTAGAGCTTTGCTACTCGGTTTTGTTGTGATCGTGGGGCAATGTTCTAAACTGCTCTGAATTAACCTCCCTGTCTATAAAACAGGGACAACAGCACCTACCTCGTAAAGTGTGGTACAGATGAAAGGAGAAAAGGCAGAAGCATGTAGCACAGGGCCTAAATGTGTTTTTAATGCTCATTTCTATGGATTTACCTTCCCTGTTGGTAGGGACCAGGTCTGGTTTGCTTATGTAAGCCCAGGCACCAAAAAGGTTTTGTGACAAAAAACAATGAGTGACAGCCTATGCTTAGAAGGAGCAGAGCAGGAAAGACTGGGACGGCAAGAGAGAAGCCAGTGAGTCCCAGTGCCTGCGGGGTGGCGCAGCAGGAACAGCACTCCAGGCCCGGCCCACTGGGCCACAGCTTCTGCTCCGTTCTCCCTGGTCGTCCCTCATGAAGAGGAGGCTGCTCTCCACCACCGTTCCCTTCGTTGTAAGGGTTAGGCCTGTACCTTGCGTGCTCGACTGTTGGTCACAGGAAACTCGCCCAGGCTGTCATCGTCCACACGGGGGTCTGGGGCACCCCGCTTCTCTAGCGGGTCGGTGCGCAGCAAAGCCTCCAAACTGCTGCCATCCTGAGAGATCAGACCCTCCTTCTTCAGGCTCTGCTCTGTCTCTACAAGGATGAAGTGAGGCTCAGAAGGGTCGCAAGCAGACTGCTCAGAGTCTACAGCGCTGAACTAACCAAGGGCCAGCCACCATCCTCGGCTCTGGCTGCCTGGGAACCAAGAGCCCCCAGCTCACACAGCACTGTAGCTTATCCGTTTACCTGCCTGTCCCCACCGCTGGACTGAGTTATTCAAAAGGAGATACCACATCTGATTCATCTGAGCATCTTCAGGATCTAGCACTGGTCCTGACACATAACAGGTGAGCAGCAGGCCTCTTACCACGCAGCCAGGAAGGAAGCACCTTACCTGGTTTAATAGATGGGAAAGAAAGTCGTGGATCTTCTGGGGGGTGGGCTCGGCGTTTCTTCCGCCAGCGCCTGGCTGGATAGGAGTACAGTTGCCCAGAGGCCAACCCTGTGGGAAGAAAGAGAAGTCAAGTCATAACCTAAGCCTAGAAAATACCACCAAAGCACCATCTTGATAAAGAGGCATCTCTTGAGTTCTAGAGAATGGGTGGAATACGGACAGAGAGAGTCTGAGAGGGGAGGGAGGAGGTAGAGTAGTTTGTGGGAAAGGAAAAAAGATTTAAGCTTGGGGGCCTCTCCCAATAATGACCTCAATAGGGCAGAAGACAAACACGCTGATATGAACCTATCTGCCTTGTTCTCCCTGGGCTTCCAATCCTGGGAAGACCCTATTCACATCCCATCAAAGGTGGGAAGCAGACAGGAAGCCTCTCACTGGCTCATTGCCTGTGGAGAAGAAGGCCCTTTCTTCCTGTGCACCTAAGTCCCCTTCTGCCAACTCTGGACCTTCACCTGGACCCCGGTGTCGCTTTTCCATCCAGATGTAACAGTTGCTCTGGGCTACTCCGGTCTGTGAGTCTAAGAAAGGCAGGCGCACACTGCGCTCAGCACAGAGGCGGGCATTGTAATTGTGGCACTGCTCCATGGCATCTTTGTAGTACTGCTCCCCAAGGCTGCAGGAAAGACACACACCAAAGGGTTAAGCGGGGTATGTGAGCTGTCGCCCTCCCTTACCATCTGCTTCACTACAAGGCTCAAGGGACTGGGAGAGTGTCTCATCAGCATTATCTGCCTCCATTTCTGTTCATGGGACGGCAAGCCGCTTCACCAAACCATCAAAAGGAAACACACTTTACAAATAAATTACAGCTTAGAACCCACAATTCCATCATCTGTCTACTCAGATGGAAGCCCAAACCCATAGAGGAAAAGAAGCCAACAGTCATTCCATGGTGCCTCTTATGCATCCAGCCTTGTGCTATTTCAGATGTTATTTCTCTTAACACCACAAGGGAGGAAGCAGAAGTTTATGTTGTTGTTAGGTGCCGTTGATTCCGACTCATAGCAACCCTATACGCAACAGGATGAAACACTGCCCGCTCCTTCATCATCCTCACAATTGTAGCTATGTTGAAGCCTACCGTTGGAGCCACTGTTGTCATTCCATCCTGTTGAGGGTCTTCCTCTTTTTCGCTGTCCCTCAACTTTACCAAGCATGATGTCCTTCTCCAGGGACTGGTTCCTCCTATGTCCATAGTATGTCTTGGTATATACTTTAGTATGTCCAAAGTACATGAGACCAAGTCTCGTTATCCTCTAAGAAGCCTCCTGGAAACCTCCTAAGAAGCATTCCGGCTGTACTTCTTCAAAAAGTTAGCCCATTCTTACACATGTGGAAAGGAGTTCAACAAGGTATAGGAGATTTATTTAAATTTTTGACAAACTACAGTATAGCCATATAATGAAATTCTATTCAGCCATAAATAAAGAAAGAAAGCCCTTCGTGTACTGGTACTGAACAATAATACCTAACATAAGCAGAAAAAGAGAGCAAGGTCTGGTGCTGAGAAATGTGACAGGACGCTGCTGTGTAACAAGGAGGGCAGAAAGAAATGGCAGGCCTTCCAGGAGAAAAACCAGGTGACTAGGGACTTTTACCACTCCTCAGAAGGAAGGTTGGGCAATCCTACTTCCGTAGTGATACTGCCTTGGAAACCCAAGGAGGGGTCGCTATGAGTCAAGGCCGACTCAACGGCACATAACAACAACAACAACAGGGACTTTTAGTTATATGCTCTGTTATATCTTTCAAATCTTGAACTTGGTATTCAGACAACTCGTAATTAACTCTAAATGCTGACCTTAGTCAGTGGAAGACAGCTGCAAATCTCTGAACTTTTTGAAGCATATTTTTATTAAGTACCTTTATTGACAGAAGGCTGGCTTGCTCTAAGGCCCATCTTAGGCCCTTTCTCATTCCCAAACCAACAGATTACACAGCAAAGAATCTTCTTGAACTCAAAAGGCTCAACCTGAAATCTGAATCAAGGGCAAACTGTTAAATGCTTTAAAGGCTGGAAAACTACATGGTGCCAGCCATCACCTGGTTATAAGAAGCACATATATGCTAACTTGCTCCTATCCTTCAGAGTTTAACAAGCGTTTTGGTACTGGAGCTTAAACTGTCACAATTCATGTTCACATTTGGTCAACCTTAAAATAAACAAACTGAAGGCAGGGGTGGGTTTTTTTCCAGTTGTATCCCCAGTACCCTCAAAGGTGTCTAGTACTTAGACTTGACTTGGTCTGGCTACACATCACCACATGTCTGTAGACATTTAGTCAACCCATGTGGATCTCAGTATACTCTTTTATAGATTGAAGAGACTGGACTAAATAAACTCTCATATATCAGAATTCTATGCAAGGGAGACCCCTAGCAGGAGATGCCCGAGAGAGTCAGTCTCTGTTGCTTATGCCCGTAACTTGAACTACTCCAACACACACTGCTCTGGAATCTGAAGGAGACTTTCACTGACCTGCTACCATACAAGACAACTGCACAGCTTCACATGTTCCCAACAAATGAAAGACACGGACTGCACGCACAGACGGCAGCAACAGAAATATAGACTGGCCTGAATCAATGAGCTGTAATTACTGTAATTTGAAGCAGGAACAAATCTTCTGCTGGAGAATGGAGATGAGCGAGGCTCACATTTGCTGGCCTTTAAGAGGCAGCCAGGTCCTCACTACACGAGGACAACAGGATAAACAAGGCTGAGTGCAGCAGCTCTTTTGTTACTGCTGATGAAAATTGATATTGACACTTGGAAGCCAAATGGAAGGAAGGGCCAGACTGGCTGAGGGCTGTAAAGCAGTGTTTCAAATTGGTTTGAACCGGTTCAATCACGGCCAATGAAGCAATCAGAACAGATCTGAATTTTTTCAATTTGGTGAAGTGGAAAGACAACCAGAACAGGAAAAATTATAGGTCAAAGCCCTGGAATGGGAGACTTGGAAGAGGCACAGTAAGTCCCTCGCTGAGCATGATACAGGACACTGGATTATTGTGAAGCCTGTGGAGAGGGACATATATTCAAAGCAGTGGTTGGCTGCATCTTAGCGGGCCACTGTTTCTTATTCTGCCAATCAAGAGAGTTGGTTGCTATGCAAGGCGCATGCTCCCCTTGTTAAGAGGAACATTAAGTTTCTAGCAGGGTGTCAATCCATTATTTTTTGTTTCAGCTATCATCCTGGTTCACCCACATTTTACATATTTGGGTCCATTCCAGTGTTGCTTCGTCAGCCACGACTGAACCGGGAAGAACCTGGTTCTAAGCTCTGCTGCAAAGTCAAGTACAAGGAGGCGGAAAGTGTTTGGGGGAATGGATGAAAGATGTTCTGTAAAAGCACTTGGGAGTTAAGCGGAATTTCAGAAAGTGGGCAAACTGTTGGGGTAGGTAAGAGGGCTGGGAATGAAGCATTTAAGTGGGGAGGTCTGATGAAGACAGAGGAGAGAGGATGTTTAAGAACACAAGCCTCCTACAGCAAGAAATCCAATAGAAAATTACTCCCTAGATTTTGTTACCTAATCAGAAGCTTTCAAAACCAGTCAGCAGCCACAACTGTTTCATACTATCTTACTCTGGAAGGAACGTTGGTGGTGGTGTGGTTAATGTGCTTGGCTGCGAACTGAAAGGTTGACAGTTTGAACCTACCAACCACTCCATGGGAGAAAGATGTCAGTTTGCTTCCATAAAAATTTACCACCTTGGAATTCCTACAGGAAGTCCTACTCTGTCCTATAGGACCACTATGAGTCAGACTCGACTTGATAGCAATGGGTTTTTATCTTATCCTGGCAAGACCCCTTAGAGACTGTTTCACTTTTGACATTATATTTGGAAGGGACAGAGAATTCTCCAGGACAAAATGTAAGTCAGAAAAGAAAATGTCCTAACCTCAATGTATAACCTCAGCTGTCAGAAGACAGGCACACCATGATCGTAAGAACCAGCAGAAAAGCAGCTCTTTCCAGAGTGAGAATGGTCTAGGCAGTAAGGAAGCCCCTTCTTAAAGAGAAAGTTCTGCCTGGAATATGGTAACTGTGATCCAGAGCCCTATGCAGCTACAACGGAGGAGGAGATAGTTGACTGGTACTCAGGAACCAATGGCTGGTGACACTCACAATCTCCAGACTTCTTGGAGAGAAATGAGAAGTCTCGCTCTATTTAAAATGGGCAAGGGACCCCTTACCAACTACTTATTTCTCTGAAGAAAGTCTTCCAGCAC